CTCTCGCTCGGCTTACCCGCTTTCCACCTCCTTCTCACAGGCCATCGGCGATCCTCGGTATACTTCTCACCTGCACATCATTCTAGCCATTCCCCGCTGCTCCCTTCTTTACTACCAGCGGCCTGCCAAACTGACCCGCCTAACCCCTCGCTCCACCGCGCCGCGCCCGGTACTTGTTTCGATACCTACCCCCCCCTGGGCCGCATCATGTTTTGCCGTGGTACTCCTGGCCCTCGCCAGGCACCGGCGCAACATTCGCAGAGGGCGGCTAATTATCTCGGAGCGACAAAGACTGCTGCTCCGGGGGCGGGGGCACCGAGTCAGGCGGGAGCAGCTACGCTGTCCACAACGGAGGGTCACACGTGATGTCCCCATCTGACTGTATGCCCACTAGTCATGACAGACTAGATGCAGTGTTTTGCCTGGCGTGTGCGTTTTAGTGATGGTTGCTTTACCATTTTCGTATAAATGAATTATCCCAAACACCGAACACAGAAATGTCGTCGATCACTGCTGGTGGAAGCCTTTGGACATGATCTACGCGCAGCGGAGCAGCGTCACCACCACAAGACGAGACACAAACTGAACACATTAAATCGTCGTTTAGATATCTTTATCGCCTCAGTTCTCTTTTTTGAATAGGAGGTTTGCTAGCATTCAACTGCCCGAAAGATCCCCGATGCGTCACTTTCCGCGGTTAAATTTGGTTGTAACTGCGTTACTGAGCATTGGTAACGGGTTAATCTATTACTTCACATTCATTAGTAATCGCGTTACGATTCACTTCATTACAGCAACAAGTAATTATTACTGTAAATCCGTTCACTTTTGTAACACGTTACCACCAACACTGATAAAGGACCTAGAACCACAGGGAATACATGCTGCTCTGTAACTTTCCTTAATGTATCAGACTATGGTGCTGTGTACAAAACGCAGCAATCTTGTTAAGGGTTTTCCTCCTTTATATCTACGCGGATGAAGATTAGGGCGCGCGCGCCAATTCTTCAAAACGTCAGAACCTGCTCTTTTCTCTTAAGTTCTAACTTTTCGGTCCAAATATTACTTTTAAGAAAAATGGAAGAAAATGTGATTTTTTTTTCAAAATGCTTCTTAAATTGACTTGTTGTCGAAATTACTTGACTTTTTTAGAAAAAACGAAATCTGACGTTTCGAAAGTAACATTTTATTTTTGAAAAAGTAACTTTTTCTGATATTTTTTGAAAAAGTCCATTTTTAACCTTAAGTAACATTTCCTGGGAAAAAGTTAATTTTCCCCAGATTTTTTTCTCGAGTTCTGAATCTTTTGGTCGCCAAATTATTGACTTTTAAATCCGAAATCTGACCTTTTGTCCACTGATTATATAAATATATTGTTTTGGTGAGATGCACTGGTTCGCGCCGCCGCCCCCGCCCGCCGCGCATGCGCGCCGCGCTCCGCTGTCCCACCGCACTCCGGCTAACTCCGCCCCCCCCCCCCCTGTCGAGGAGGGAGATTCGATCGGCCCACTCACCAAACCACAAGGCCCTCGCGCTCTCTCAGCGCGCTCGTCGCTCTCATACCGGGGACAGGAGACCCCCTTCGCGATCGCCAGCCCCTCGTAAGTAAGGATCGGGACTCCTCCGGTAGTGGAGTCATGACGACTGGATCTGAATTATGTTTTCGTATTTGGTGGTTTGTGTCCCAGCTGTCGATCAGCTGTGCGCAGCGTCTCCACTGCAGCAACTCTATATCCACCAGTTAAAGGAAATACAACTAATGTGTTGTGTTATATTAGCTGTACAATTGACCACATATGGTGTTCTTAGTTTCCATACCTCCTGTGTTTTACGAGCGACTTATCAAGTCTTAGCAAACGGCATAAAACATGATTAAACATGATAGTATATAAAACCATGTTCGTATACAACCTATAGAAATGCAAAACGGCGTCAGTTTAGACGTAATTCTGTCCTCCTGCTTACTGCATCATTTACGAGAAAACATTTCATAACATTAACACAACATATTCGAGGTGGTTTTAAATAACATATCCGTATTTATTTATTTCTCCAAGTTATGTTTTTGTGTGCACTGAGGAGTCGCAAACAGGCGTTTGTTTAATCATTTTAAGATTGGCTTTGATCAATGTTTGAAAAATGAATTCTTCATATATGATAAATGAGAGGTAACATTTTATTTATGGTATTATTTCCACATATTTCTCTCCATTCTTCCTTCTTCCAACGGTGTCGCAGTTTCTCGTCTCTTCCGTTTGTGTGCTTAGTGCGTGCGCATGGGTTACAGTTTGCGTGGAGGACCGCGCGTTTTCCCGTCAAGTTAGTATTTTATAAATCGCTAACATTGCGTAGAAACTGTTGTACGCCATTTTTTGAGCGTATATCCCTTTTATAAATGAGGCCCCAGCTCTCATAGTATGCCTCTCGTCCAATGAAATGACTTGCTCGCTCTGACGCGTTGAACCCAATGCGACGCAGCACCTGAGATTACTTCCAAGAAGTTGTTCACGTTCTCAATTTTTTACTTTTAACGTTATATTCGTTCGGTACACTTCGGTACACACGTGTACCGAACCGAAGGGCCCGTACCGAATAATAGTATCGAGAATCGGTACGAATCTGGGTGTGACCCTAGATAACAAACTGTCCTTCACTGCAAACATCGCTGCAACAACCCGCTGCTGTAGATACACTCTTTACAACATCAGGAGGATACGTCCCCAGCTGACCCAGAAAGTGACACAGGTTCTGGTCCAGGCTTTCGTCATCTCACGCCTAGACTACTGCAACTCCCTCCTGGCTGGTCTACCTGCATGTGCCATCCGACCTCTGCAGCTCATCCAGAATACAGCGGCTCGTCTGGTCTTCAACCTTCCTAAATGTTCCCACACCACACCACTCCTCCGCTCCCTTCACTGGCTTCCAGTAACTGCTAGAATCCACTTGAAGACACTGGTTGTGTGCCTTGGCAGTGCGAAGGGATCTGGCCCTTCCTACATCCAGGACATGGTTAAACCGTACACCCCAGCACGTGCACTCCGCTCTGCATCAGCCAAACGACTTGCTGCACCCGCACTGCGAGGGACCCAAGTCCCCACCAGCAAAAACACGTGGGTTTGCTATCCTGGCTCCAAAATGGTGGAATGAGCTCCCCATTGAAATCCGGACAACAGAAAGCTTACACATCTTCCGGCGCTGACTGAAAACTAATCTATTTTGACTCCACTTCGAGCGATAGAATTATTAACAAAGCACTTATATACTAATAAAGGGCTGGCTTATCTAAAGCCAGTTGAGTAGCACTTGAAATGTTTTGGCTCTATGAAACCTGATGTACTTATATGATTCTGTTTTCTTCAAGGTTGTATCTTGTTGGTCGAACGCACTTATTGTAAGTCGCTTTGGATAAAAGCGTCAGCTAAATGCAATGTAATGTAAGTCAGTACCGGTAGCCGATTGGACGGTATCGATATCCCGTTAAGCCGCTGGACAAACGGTGCTGCTATCGGTATATGAATTACGCTACTTCCTTAGTTTAAACAATTCTGGTTGTTTGGGAACCCTCATCCCGTGTGACGTATCCGGTTTGAGTACCCCTGGGGACAGACGCGTCTCGTTTTAACTGAATAATGGTCATGTTTACATGGATTTATGAACTGCTCCTAATTACCGCCCCCCTTCCAGAGACAAACTGTCAAACACACTCATAGCTGCTTGGTATGACAATGAAAAAGTTACAACAGCGGTAATTAAAGTTTAAAAGTCTCAAAAATGCTACAACTACTGTCACTGACTGGATGAATGTGAAGTATTTNGCGCAACAGCGGTAATTAAAGTTTAAAACTCTCAAAAATGCTACAACTACTGTCACAAACTGGATGAATGTGAAGTATTTTGTTAAAGGAGGATGAAAGCGTAATTAAGGAGCACTATTGGAGTGACTTTGATGGTTATTGGACTCAGGATTAATTCATTTGGATTCCTGCTGTATGAAGAAATTAAAGGACGGCACAAGTGGAAACAATTCACAAAGGGATTAAACTTTTTAAAACACATGCTCAAAGTAAGCCGGATTTTGCCTATGTGTTTATGTGGATTCAAAAGTCGTAAATAATCTACAAAATGGAGGAGACCGATCTGATCGGAGCAACTGTGACAAATAATCCAACTGAAACCGGCATGGACAATGACTATGCTTTAAAAATGCGCTTATCCAGAAAAGCCTGGTTTGGACACTTTACCCGCAGAAGAAACATTTCTATTAAAGAAAGAATTATACATTTCTGTCTTTTTATGCCTTTATTTACTAACTTCAATTTGTATTCAAATTAATCAATCAATTATTTTTTATATTTTATTGTAATGTAGAGACAAGGCTTTTAGTGACAATCATGTATTGCTTTACAATTATATGTTTTTTTTTTTAAAAGTCTAAATATGATATTTGGCCTCAAATCATCTGAGGCCTGGCGCCCCCCAGGTTGGGAACCACTGTTCCAGACGCATCAGAGCCCTGTCTCTCTGAGTCAACACCGCTCAAGGTTGTCAACCTTCTGTCCTCTCCTCACAGCTTTGTGACTGTCTGATCTGCCATGTAACCCTGCACTACCAGCTGCGATGTTGACTGAGCCAAATGTCAAGACCTATCAGATACATAGGAATACTGCATTGTTTATTGAACAAACATTAGAATATTAGAAAGCCGGGTTTAAGGAATAATTAGCAGGAAGTAAGCAGTGTGCACTATATCATCATATTCAATTAAGTTCTCATATTGGTCTTTTTTTTTACAGTACGTCCTCCATTCCTGAGGACAGTTTACACCTTGTACCTTAAATTTTACCTTAGGAATTTATACAGGCAAAATTATTATAATTACAAAAAAAGTCTGCTGATATCTAAACTTATGGTCCACTAACTAGCTATTTCCAGAGCTTTTGGTTCCTATCTCAGGGTTTTAATTGGTGGATAGAGATGGCTCAGTTCACGTAGCCTGAAGCTGAATTCATACGATACGTGATTTGCTCTCTGCTCATTGTGAGGTTCGGCGCAGAGCCTTGCGGTGAAAACGATAAGCTAAGTTTTGTTTCTATGGTTACCTGCTTGCTTTTTGCAGTTAAATACAGCTGTTATGTGATTGTTTGCCAATCAAAAGTTCATCAGCAGTAACCATGTCAAAATTGAAATAATATGAACTTGGAGTTCAGTGACCAGCAACAATTTCAAGCGGTGTGCGGCGCCGACGGTAGTTTCACAGTCGGATGCACAGCTCTCTCCATAGAAACTCAAAGGCAATGTTTCATGATATTCCTGTAATTGACATGTTGTGAATTTGACAGAAAACCAGCAAAGGCAGGAAGGAACAAAACTGCATTCATAAAAAACTAAAGGAGCTTTAAATGTTATGAAAAATGTAATACATTTACTCTGGTTTAGGCAGACTTGTGGAGAGAGCATTATAGATAATGATTACCTAATTTTCTTTATTTCTTTTACAATTTTAGGTCAAGCTTTTAAGAATGCTTTTCTGGAAGTAAAAGGAAATGTGGCTTTCATCTCCTTATCACTGTGAGTAGGTTTTGATATTGAATATTATATATGTATATTGAAATCTCTCCTTTCTGCTTTTCTCTCCCCCTTTATACTTCCTCCCCCCCTTTTGCCATTTCCCTTTCTTTCCTCTTTTGCTTTTTCCAGGTTCTGTTGCTGTTTTGCAGCAGGTGACCCCCACCCCTCAGCCAAAATCCGTTTATTAGATGTGACCACAAGGTTGATCAGGAGAAGCCACCATGTCTTAAACCCAGGCGGGCCCTCTGGAGCCCTGTCCCCTCACCCTAGATCCCCCTCCCCCTCCCCTATCCACCACCTTACCCCTTCTCCCAGCCCCATCCAACTTCAACACCTCCCTCCACATGTGAGGGACAGGCTTCCGGGCTCCGGCTCGCCTCTGGCACACCCCCCCTCTCCCTCCATAGAGATGAGCCTGGAGAAGCACCAGCAGTTGGGTGGTGGTAGCGGAGGGGAGTTGGGCTCTGACCGGGACCTGCAGTCCACTGCTTCCTCCATCTCTCTGCCCTCTGTGAAAAAGGCCCCCAAGAAGAGGCGCTTCTCCCTGGCCTCTCTCTTCAGGCTGCGAGGCCGGGAGCCCAAATCAGGGCGCCAAAGGTCCCGAGAGCTCCAGTACCCGGGACCCATTGGGCTAGTCGGTGTGGAAGGCATCGCCAGCATTGAGAGCATCCACTCTGAGATGTGTAACGATAAGCACTCTGCCTTCTTCTCTGTGGCTGGGGTCGGAGCTTCCTCTGCTGCCGCCTCCACCTCATCTGCCTCTGGGCCTTCCTCCTCTACCACCACCTCCTCCTCCTCTAAGGTGGGGGGTGCGGTGACGGCAGATCTACTGGAGTGCCCGCTGTGCCTTCTGCTCCACTCCAGGGAGAGCTTCCCTGACATCATGACCTGTCACCACCGCTCCTGTATGGATTGCCTGCGGCAGTATCTGCGCATCGAGATCTCAGAGTCTCGTGTCAACATCAGCTGCCCCGAGTGCTCGGAGCGCTTCAACCCTCACGACATCCGCATGATCCTGGGTGACCGGGCACTCATGGGGAAATATGAGGAGTTCATGCTGAGGAGGTGGCTGGTGGCTGACCCGGACTGCCGCTGGTGCCCTGCGCCGGACTGTGGGTAAGAAGTGAATAAAATACACAGCATGGCAACAAAACAAACGATTAGTAAGAAGGAAACTTTAAGCGATTTCTAGGCAATATACCTCCAGCTCTTAAATTAGAAGACTGAAACTTAGAATACGATAAATATGCCTCACTTAAAACATTTATGAACATTGTTAGTTTTTTGTGAGTTTTGTGTCCTGTATTTTAAAGGTTAAAAAACTAGTAGCATAAAACAACGTTAGACGTTTGTGTTGGATTAGCTTCCATGTTATTATGTGCCGTGTTTCAGAGAACTTTGGGAAATGCACAGAAGGCAAATTTGAACCAATGCTGTTCTCCTGGAAACAATAACTTCAGCCTACAGTCATTTGGCCCACATAATCAGAAGCACCTTGTTCAGGCACACCCATGCAGCAAGTGAATCCTGTGCCAGGGAAAAAGAGAGGAAAATAAGCCTTACATTTTCTATTTTTGTGTCGGTTTTTGACATATTGTTTTATTAACAGTATATTCCTTTGCAGACCATACTCTTAGTAGTTTTCAGTGTGGTGGCTTCCCAACAGTGACTTTAAAAAGCTTTGATTCGTCTCTGCTAAGCTTCACTGTCTGTCTGCATTCTGGACTGAGTCCTCTGCAGAGTAGAATGATCCATAGCGTAGCAAGTCTCCCAGGCTCTTCATGGCTCTGTGATCAAACTGAATCTGAGGTCATGCAGAGGGGCTGGGGGGCTTCTGCTTCAGTCACATGCTCCAGGGTTTCCCTCAAGACATTGGCTAGCCACTACAAACGTTTTCTGAACAACTTCTTTAGATTTGTCTCCTGTCTGTTAGCTGGAGTCCTCATGCATCACATCACCTCAGCTGTCACTCTGTCACCCTGAGGGCAAACACACTCAGTGGTAAACACAGTAATTGAGGATGGACACAGCGTCACTACTCATGTCAAGAGTACTCTGCAGCCTCTATATGGATCACAATGCTGATGAAAGAGGGGGACAAAGTGCTTTTGTAGTTTGCCATTCAAAATGCTCTCTAACATACTGTGAGTGCAAAAAGAAGGATTAAGCTGGTATCTGTACATTCTAACTTAGGCACCCGCTAGATGAGTAGAAGTGTTTTGAAAAGGAACACAAGTCTTCATCATCTATTCTCAATGTCAGCTGTCTAATTTTGTTGCTGGCGTTCTATATGCAAGACATTTACTTAAATATACATATTTTTCTTTTATCTAACATTTTATGCTAGTTTTATTCAGAAGTCTTTTCATTTGTTATTGCAGACAATGACATCGTTTGGACAAAACTCATTCTGTGATTTATATCTATGCATTTCCTGATATGTTTTGCTTGTCTTCTACCAGGTTCGCAGTCATTGCTTTCGGCTGTGCCAGCTGTCCTAAGATCACGTGCGGCAGAGAGGGCTGTGGCACAGAGTTCTGTTACCACTGTAAGCAGCTGTGGCATCCCAACCAGACATGTGATGCAGCGCGGCAGCAGAGAGCCCAGAGCCTCCGCCTGAGGACGGTGCGCTCCTCCTCCCTCAGCTACAGCCAGGAGAGCGGAGCTGCAGGTGGGCTGCTCTTCTCTCTTTGTCCTGTGATCACACATTGCTAAACAGGAGCATAGATTATATGCAAGACATTACCACAATGGTAGCAGTGTTACATATGTATTCCATTTCATTGGATGATGGATTGAAGGGAATAGAGTGGTGCAGTGAAGACAGTTTTACGTAGACCAACCAGGAAGATAGAACACTGGGGCTCCCTCGATAAAGGCAATTGGATTTGGGGGAAAAATAAGATCTGCGGTAAACAAATGTTGATGTTACTTACACGTTTCCTCATATGGATAGTCTCCACATCTGAACACCTTTTTTATGATTTTTGAGCATAAATGCAATCGCCAGAAGAAAAAAAGCTGACATTCCGTTATAATCAATGACCAAAAACATACAAACCTATAAATGGTCAGTGAAACGCCCCATATTCATTTATACTGACTGCACAAAGACGATCATAGGAATCGGCAACAGAACGTCTATGTAAGCGTAGTGGAATATCGAAGTTGTTGTTGGGAAGGGGGAGACAAGTAAACAATATTGTTAGGTGTACACAGTTGGACATGACACACGCTGTGAGGCTGCTACCTCAGACGGCCCGAGACTAACATTTCACAGATCAATTGTGTTATTTGTTTCCATAACTCCTATGTTTTAACAAGCAACTCATCACGTCTTGGTGCACGACATCATTATATTATCTTCATTTGTAAAGGATTGTTTAAAAGCCCAGTTTCAAAGTTCTCTACAATGAAACACATTTTAAACACAGAATTGTGTAATATCTGCACAACCTATAGGCATGGACAACGCTGTCAGTTTAAACCTTAATCTGTCTTTCTGTTCACCTCATTATTTATGAGAATACATATCATAAAATGTAAGCATTGTAGCCTGTAATAATTATAAAACATATTTGAGGGGTTATTTGCAATAACATATCTGTATTGTTATAATTATAATTTATTTTAAATGTGTGCAATAAGGGAGTATCAAGCAGGTGTTTGTTTATTCATTGTAAGATTGCCATTTATCTGTTTTTGAAAATCAACTCTCATATACGAGTGCCAATATCTAGTTTTATTTTTCTCTTTTCATCCTACTGCTATGATGTTGCAGCTTCTCGTTTCTGTGCGAACGCATGCGTGTCCGTGGATGACCGCACATTTTCCTGCCAAGTTTGTTTTTTATTAATCACAAACTTTGCTTAGAAATGGACATACGCCATCTTTTAAGCATAGTCAGCAGTGTTTTTAGATTTACAAAACTAGTGGGGCATATATTATAATTATATATCTATCTATGCTCCCTTGTCTCCTCTTCACAACTACAGTTTTTGCAGCACACACACTTACACTTACTTTGCCCCACTTGTGATTCATTTGTGATTCATTTGATTCATTGACACGTTGAATAAAGAAATACTCTGAGCATGTGCAGCTTACTTTTCGTAGTACACACTCATTTTTGAGAGAGGGGCTTACCCCACATCGCTCAACCCGGCTAAAGCAGCAATGTAGAGACCGCTAAACATGATCTTCAAAATATATTTTAACATTTATTTTATACTGAACAATGATTGTAATTATTTTATACTGATTGTAGGTGGGGCTGTCCCACCTGCCCCTAATGATGAGTCGCCACTGAAACTTTGATATGATGCACACTGAATAGTTTTCTCTCTTTCCTTTCAGCTGATGACATTAAGCCATGTCCGCGCTGTGCTGCTTACATCATCAAAATGAACGACGGCAGCTGTAACCACATGACCTGCGCTGTGTGTGGCTGTGAGTTCTGCTGGCTGTGCATGAAGGAGATCTCAGACCTGCACTACCTGAGGTCGGTTTATTCAAACGCACACATCTTCATAAACCCAGATTCAGATAATGCCTACAATAGGACTTTGCCCAATTTGGTACAAAAGCCAATCCTAACTTAATTTAAGAATACCATTTATCTTAATTCAACTCATGTTAACTTTGGTTAGGAAACCCTAACCACTCAATCGAACTTGCCCATTATTAAATAATGCTGATACAGCATTCCAACTAACTTACTACTTGTTCTTCGACGCACAAAATTCTTTATTTTTATTCCACCGGGTTATTTTGGCGTCTTCTGCTCCCACATTCCACATCGCAGAAACTCCGTTCTAACATCAAAACGTTCAGCTCGATCCAGAATCAATGGCTATTATTTTTCTCATTCATAACTTTCATAATTCCAGAGATACATCCCATAACTCATCACATTTTTAACATGGAAGTCAATGGAGAAATTCTTCAGACTTGAAAAATCTTCATGCGACTTCAACTGCTAACTGCTCCTTCATACTGCTCCTTCATACTGCTCCTTCATACTGTCCCTTCATACTGTTCCTTCATACTGTCCCTTCATACTGCTCCTTCATACTGCTCCTTCATACTGTCTAGGGGTGTAACGGTACACGTACCCGTACCGAAATTATTCGAACGAATATAACGTTAAACGTAAAACATTGAGAACGTGAACAACTTTTTGGAAGTAATTTGCTCACATTGGGTTCAACGCGTCATAGAGCGACCAAGTAATTTCATTGGACGAGAGGCCTACCATGAGAGCTGGTCACAGGGATGCGTTCAAATTTTATTTGAGGAAATGTCGAACGCAGATAAAGTTGAGCTCGAAAATCCTCCAGCATCATTGAAGTCTCCGGTTTGGGAACATTTTGGTTTCGCAGTTACGTACAAGGATGATGGACAAAGACAGGTGGACAGAACCAAAGCTGTTTGTCGGCATTGTTCAACTAAAATTGGTTACGCGGCTGGCAATACATCAAACTTGCACCCTCATTTGAAAAGGCATCACCCGAACGTGAATATCACCGGTACCAAAAGAAAAAAGACTGAAGTGCAAACCCCACTCCCACTAGCATTTAAGCCTCCACCACTCGCAAAAAGTTCAGACCGAGCCAAAGCTATTACAAACGCCAAATATCCTTATGTTGCCATGTTAGCAAAGCGCTACCTGGCTGTATCTGCTACCTCTGTTCCTAGCGAGAGGGTGTTCTCCACAGCAGGAGACATTGTTAGTGCCAGCAGATCTGCCCTTTCGGCAAGCAATGTGGACAAGTTCATCTTTCTTTAAACAAACATGAAAATACAATGACAAGCAAGTCATAATGTCAAACTGGCTGCTTAGGTACAGTACAGTTCAAATACAGATTATTTCAGTTCATTGAAATGCTGCACCTTAATGTTTATTTTTTATATTTTTTATTTATTTGGGTGAATATTCACAGTTTAATAATAATTAAAAACCCAAAACTAATGGTTTATGTTTTGTGAGTACTAGTACAGTAACGTTCAAATACAGATTATTTCAGTTCATCGAAATGCTGCACCTTAATGTTTATTTTATTATATTTTGTATTTATTTGAGTGAATACATTATTCACAGTTTAATAATAATAAAAAAAACCCCAAAAATGTTTTATCTTTTGTGATAATTTGTTCTGCTGTACCGAAAACGTACCGAACCGTGACCTAAAAACCGAGGTACGTACCGAACCGAAATGTTTGTGAACCGTTACACCCCTAGCCTTCACAGAATGACTTCTCCTCATTTGGGTGTCACTCTGAC